TTTTGGACAAACCTTGTGGCCAAATCACCGAATTTTTTTTTGTGATTTGCATATGTACATATGTACGTATAGCATATATTTGCGTATGCATGTATAACAACTTTATATGTACATATGTACATACATTGCCCAAAATTCATTAACAAGAGAATGTACAATAATATAATTGAATTTGAAAAAAAAATCAAAGCGATAACTTTTTTTGGTTTTCATGTAGGCATGAATACCTACTTACATACATGCAAGTATGTACATATATGAATTATGTCGGTAGTTGGTTGCTCATTAATGGAAAAAGAATGAAAAAAAATTAACAAAATACGTTCAAGTTCAAAGAAAAACAGAAATGTATGTAAGAAAAAAAAAACAAGAAAAATATTTTTACTTCAAAATTGTAATGAACCAGAAAGTACAAGTATTTTTCAGGAATTGTTGTAATATTTCGTAGATAAGAGAGTATAGTAAAATGCAGATACATATGTATGTGTGCAGGTTAGCTGTTACATTATATTTACACTAGTAAAAAATAACTTTGAGTTAAAAGGTCATATTAATTACAATTACAGATAAATTGAGATATTTTAATTTTAAAAAATTATGCTAAGTAATTATAATTTATATTTACTATTATTGAGTCACTTAGCTATATGAAACATATACACACATATACACACATTCAGCTCATGATTGTACAGCTCTTTATTTCCTCAAATTGCTACTACATTCAATAGTCTTACGAAACTGAGAGAAACTATTAAAAATAAATATTTTTGCTACCGACTGTGGTAACAGACAGGGTGCTCAAATTTTTTTATTTGCTTCTATCTCAGATATTTTGGTTCGAATTAAAAATGGCCATAGTTGTTCTGAATTTTCAAAAACACTATTGTGTATTAAATTTTACAAAACTTTTAAATATAAATTTGATTTTTTTCGTTACTGAACATCCAATTCAGCCTATTGCAATCAAAATCTAATTGAATAAATTACGAATTTTACCATTATTGAGCTAAATCATAAATGTTTGATCTTCTCAGCTTAAAGATTGTATTATTTGTACCAAAAACTTGAATATGCTCGTCCAATGTATTGCCCTCCTTTAGGGGTTTTTTTATTAGGTACTGGTGTACTAGACTTAAGGTTGCATTGTTTTTTAACTATATATTTAATTTTAGTGTTTAACTATCAAATATAAATGTGTGTGTATGTCTCTCACTAGTCCATATATATGTATTTATAAATGGAATCAAAAAACTTTCGTTCGGCTGAATTGAAAATTTTATGTAGTTATTTTTTCGATAACCAACTACATAATATACAACAAATTCATATTTTTTTTGGGACTAACACAAAAGAATCAACTTGGAAACAAACAAAAAAAAGAAATACAAAATGATTTTTGTGTTGTATAGAGAAAAAAAAAACAAAAAATGGGAAAAAATAGGAAAAAAGAAGAATAATATCAGCTTTCCTACTATTTCCATTCCCTTGACATTCAAAATAAAGAAAAAGTGAAAATTTGTTATTAAAATTTGTCTCTTTTGTTTTTCTCATTGTTATTTTTGTTTTTCTATTCTTTTTCAATTGAATATTTTCATTAATATTTATATACAACACATAAATCAAGAGTTATAGAAATTGCAATTAAAATAGATTTTTCGATTGTAACACCAACAAATTTATTGTTAAAAAATTTATAAAATGTGACACATAGCACATATTCCGTATGAAAGCTATTAGCGCTCTCTGAGAAGAGAGCAAACATAAGTTTTTGTTTTGAAAAAACATTGAGAATTTCCTACAGTATTCCTCAATATTTTCTCAAATTATAAACAATAAAAAACAAAATGTTAAAGGAGAAAAAGAAGTCAATCTGAGAACAATCTGTCAAATGATCGAGAAAGGCTATGTTTTTTTACGCACATAAATACCATTCAAAATATCCAAAACATAAAATTTTAGAAACTTTTAAGAGATGTGGGGGATACAAATGTTTTGAGCGTAGTGTTCTTAGAACATAAATATGCTCTTTAAAATTGTGTACTTATATTATTTAATAATTTTTTTATATATTGTCAAATATGTCAAATATGCGTTACCTATTGTTGTGAGTGCACAAATCTGCCGTAGAATTTTTATTATTTTATTTGATTTATCATAAAATTTCAATTAAAAAAAACATACATATGTATATGTACATATTACATACATAGATACATATTTCATTTGGATTTTTACTTAAACCATAGAGTCTTAAACTTTTTTGGAATGATTGCTAATTTACACATTTAAGCCTAACCAGGCACAAAACCGTCACAAAATGACGAAATTATTTATATAAAAATATAATTTTGCATATATGAAGGTTAACATACCAAGAAGTATTGAAACTAAAATTTTAAATGAGAATTTCGTAGAGTCACATTTTCCATCTAGAGCTGATCATAAGGGCTCAGGCAGACATACAAGTTTTATTTTTGCAATTGCTGCTTGATTGTAAAATCGTTGCGCGCACGTCTAAGCAACTAAACTATTGCGTCAAATTAAGCCGGATCGCATAAGCTAAAAATTGCAATAAGTTTGTAAAAAATTAAAAACTGTTTGATTGCTAAATTAGATGCGATCATACAGTTGGTCGTGCTTGAATATAAATTATTGGTAACAACCTACCTGAGCCCTAAAAGGCGATAAGCCGATTGTGAATCACTGATTTAAAAGCCTTGCTTTCCCATCTTGTCAGTTCAATATTATAAAACAAATTTTTTTTTATTTATGTTTGTATTTGAAAACGAAATATGATAAAATAAAAGACAAGAATAGAACTTTAAATAGAAATTAAATAAAGAAGAAAAAAAAATATTCTATTTCAAATCTAGCAAAACTCAAAAACTTTTTTTTTTATTTTTTTCAAATAATATTTTGGAAGTAAACAAATACAAGGCGAAAAGAAAATTGATGAAGTTCATCGAACTTCTAACAAACGCGCAAACGCTTTTCTAATAGATAAAAAAAAGATGTCGTTGTGTTGTGGATCGTTTTATTTCAGCGTTTTTTATTTCAAAGTTTTTAATTTTTTTTATTCTATTCTATTTTGTTATATTTCTTTTTTTGAGTAATTTGGGAGCAGTAAACAAGCATTCATTATACAGAATTTAATTTATCACCTATATACATAGTGTATATATGTATATGAGTATTTGTTATGTACAATTATTATGACTGTATATATAAAAGATAACAATTTTCTTTTGAGGTATAAAAATTAAAAAAAAAAAAATTGTTCTTGTGTTGAATAGTTCTAGATTTTACTATGCATAACCTATACCAAAAACTCTTATCATTACAGAAATACAGGTTGAGTATACACACACACACGTTTTATATCTTGCTCTTGAATTATTGATTAGTAAACAAAATGATTGTTAGGGGGGTTGGTAGTTTAAACTTAGTAAGAATAGAACCATTTTGAGGAACGTGACTTTTATATCGTTTATAATTAAAATTGAAGACGTATCAAAAGATTTAATGCGATTAAAAGACGAATAAAACTTTCATTACCCATTGAAAATACTGGAATTCACATTTACTGACTAATAGTGCGAATTCGAACCTGGTTTATAAACGGAATATATCTATATTGTCTAGAAAATGGAAAAAAGTCAAAATTGTTTTCATTCTGAAACAAGCTCAGATGGAAAGCTCAGATGGAAAGAACATGCCAAGAAGAAACGAGTAGAATTAGAAAACAAATTTTGAGAAAACTATTGGCTCCTTCGTTGTAGGGGTAGATTGACAACATACAACAAGGTGTTGTATATAACCAAATAATAAAGCCTAGATGGACGTATGGTTTACTGCTATAGGTTTACTGGAGCGATCTTGCCCAAGTTTGTACTGTGCCATAAAATATAGCGCTCGTTTGGAATAGCATGTAAATATTGAGACCTATTGACTTATAGGGGACGCAGAATATCATTTCGTTCATAGTTTATCAAGAATGAGGCACTATATTCTCTCAGACGATTAGCATGCAGATTATATTTAGATACGATGACGAAACAATTCTAAAAGTTGTTGGAGTACACAATGAATGTTTTTGTTGGTGTTTTTAAACGTGTGAAAATTTAATTAAGGTAATTTTCTAGATCGTTGTATTGGAAAAATTATTATAGACTATTAGATATTTCTTTACCAGAAGAGTAAGGTCTAGTTGGAGTTTGTGGCTGCGACAGTAAACTGTAAAAGATAATTAGTGACTAACCCATTGCAGGGCGGCAGTATGATTTCGAATTAACATTGGATGTTGGTAATTTCTGGAATTTAAAATTATTTTTTTAATTTGTGTTTTTTTATTTTGTGTAATTTTTTATATTACTCATAATTTGTTATTTCAGTTTAAATTTTTTTAATGAATTCATTCAAAAATTCTCTTTCGAATTTTTTCTCGAAGAAAATTTGAAAATTCTTTTCAAAAGAAAAAATAAAAAAAGCAAAAACTTTACAATGATCACCTCTTTAATTCCATTTTTTACAGCCTTACCCCGTAAGAAAAAAGTGAAAAAAAAAAATTGAAGAAGAAAACAAAACTAAAACTTAATTTTTAACAATAAAATGGAGTCCAGTGGGTTACCAAAACTGAAAAATATTAAATTAAAAAAAAAATAAATAAAATTTCCATAAACTTTAGAACATTTCTGTATGTTAAATGGTAAAAAAAAAGAAAAACGTGTTCGAAATTCTTAACAATTACAAGAACAAAAAAAAAAAAACAGAATAACAAATAAATTTTAATGTTGTTTATGCTTTTGGTACATTCAAAATAAGTGGAAAAGAAAGAAGATCACGCCATTGTTACATGACTTCATCTTTTTTTTAGCTTTCATTTACATGAATTTTTGAATTGTAATACATATGTATGTACATAGTCTTTTACATAAGACTTAAATAACAAAGATAAGAGATAAATATTGTTATATGTATAAGATGCGTTTATAGAAATTGAATAAAAAAATTTTTTCAATGAATTTTGTAAACAACTAATGAAAATATTTAAAATTTCTTTAATATACTAACTATACCTTCATTAAAACAGATTAAAACGGAGCCATTAAAATTTGATGAAATATAACCAACTTATATTGAGACGCAGATATCAAAGTCTAATGAGAAATATTGTCCGCGGACGTTGTCTTTATAAACATTAAAGGTTGTACAGGATTAGAGACATCACAATCTTTTTCACTACGCAGCTTTATAATTTATTTTAAAATTTACTTTAATTTTAAATTAATTTCAATTAATGTACATAATTTTGAATAAATTTTTATTATTTTGTATAATTATATGCATAAATATACTTACAACTTTTTATGTAAAATTCATAAACCAAAATATTATTGTATATAAGAACCCATAAAGAAAATTATAATTTCTTTTCAATATTTTGTAAAATCATAAAGGGGGATCGAGAATCTGTTCTTGAAGAGTCAAAATTTTGTGTAAAAACATTTTGATTCTTACCTGAAAATAAAAAGAGAAAAAAGAGCAAACATTAGTTTAATTTATTCAAAATTTGATAAATAAAATATTAAAATTTATAAAAAATGAAAAAGAGAATTTGTAATTTTTCTAAAAATCAGATTTTTTGTAATCGACATTAAAGCTTACAACAGATAAATCAATAGTGTACAGCTATATTGTATAAAAAGTACATGTTTTGTAAAATTAAAATTCAATAAAAATTTAAGAAAATTAACAAGAAATTCGGCATAGTTTGAAATAAGAATTCGAGAACTATTGCTTGCTACCATTCCGTCAAGCAAAGAGTTTGATCAATGGGGGTTTTCGTTTATTCAATTCTAGAATAATTCTAGCTTGTAGTGGGTTACACGTTACATACACTAAAAATATAGATCATTTGGAAAGTGCTAGCTGCAATAAAGTGCACTCGGAAATTCAATCTGCAATAAAGAAATGTAGCGGAGACCTCTAGTATAAATTTTGTCACTACCTCATGAAATTTTTTTTCTTTTTTAATTTAAAATTCAAAGAAAATTTTATATTTCAAGGATGTTAAAATAAGTTTTCTTTAAGCCTTTAAATCTTTTTAAAATTTTTTGATTTTGCTGCGAATTGGAAGGCGAAAAGTATTGGGATACAATTTCATAAACAATGTCATTTCTGTTATTTTCGAACGACTGATTATTTAGAAGTTTCAGAATTTGTAGACTATGCCTAAACAAAAAAAACCTTAGCTAAAGTTTTTGCATACTGTTTAACGCTGCGACTTAGAAATTTTAGTTCTAATGTAGAATTTTCAGCGCAGTGTGCATAAACGAAAACCCTAAATACCTGCATTACAAGAGACCAAAAATATTTTATCTTGAAATCAAAGTTTTTTTTTATTTTGGAACTTTCAGAGATTTTACAGCAATTTTTGAATTATTTTTTCAAGCAAAAATTTCATGAATTTCGATTTTAAATTCTTCTTATATTTAAGACTCAGAGTCATGGTTACAAAATTCTTAAAACCCTACTACACGATTACCTAATATAATCACTACTAGTTCTCAAATATTTTTAGCAAAATTTTCGGTACGATCATCAGTCTTCATCATTTAGTAAGAAAATAAGTTTTTATTGAGAAAATTAAGGTCTGTAATTGTGACCTTCTCTATATAAAAAATTTTAAAACCATAGTTGAAAATGATTTCAAATTTAACAAAAAACACGCACAGAAAAAAAAAGACAGACAATGCTATTCTTAATTTTTATTTTCAATTAAAAAAATATTAATAAAAATGGCTAACTGCCAAAGATGAAACGGAAAGATGGACACAAGAAAATACTTTAAGTACACAAATTATTATTGATATTTTGGTAAAAAAAAAATCTATTATAAATTGCGAAAATATGCGTGTATACAAAATATTTTTTCCATCGGTTTCTATAATATGGACGACGAACATGTTATACCATGATTGTTTTTCGTATCCTAGATTTTGTTTTTTAAATTTACTTAATAAAATTAAAAAAAAAAAATTTGAACATTTATTTTTATTTTTCTTTTCCATATTAAAAATTCTAAAATAATTTACATAAAAAGCCCATTATTGTATATAGGCAAAACCTATGTTATAAGAATAATAATTATTTTCTAAAAATTATTATATAAGTATAAGTATGTATATTAGTTCCGAAGAGTTGCCAAATTAGAACAAATGTTTTAAAAACAGATTTTTGAATAATTTGACTTTTCGAGAACAAATTTTGATATACCTCTAACAACATGCATCCACTGTTTTTAACTACCGCCCTGATGGAAAAGTTGATTAGAATTCTCGTATTTTATATACGAGTATGAAGCATAAATATTTTTACCATATTTGAAATCATATTTAATTATTAAGTATTTGAGAATAAAAATTTCTAGGTTGAACCTTTTTATAATTGAAACTGTTTACAGAACATTCTCTGATCTATTAGGCAATTTCTTCATACTTCTGTAGCTCAGTTGAATAAGTGTCCGCCTAGAAAGCTATATATCACTTATTCGAGTTCAGTTCAAGGAGAAAAATTTTTTAATAAAATTTTGTGCCTTGACTCGTTCTTTTGATTACGTTATCCATCTGTTCTGCACTTGTATGAAAAAATTTCCTTTACTTATTCTTATAAGAACTAATAATTAATATAACGAATAACACGTTATATTAGTAATTATAGTAATAACACTAGTCATGTTTTATTCTGCTTCATTTAAAAATCTTTGTCTATTCTAATATGTTCGAAAAATATACTTTTTGCAAACTTTTTAAATGAATTACTCGAAATTATGTTATATGATATACAGAACGGGTCTAGGACGATTAAGTATACCCTTGAGGGGCACGTTAACCAACCTATATGATACACATATAGTGACGAGTTACTGTTATGAACTTGGAATTACAAATTATAAATTTAATTCTTGTGCGAGAAATACTAAATACTTTTACTATAATGCACTCACAAACTACAAAAAAATTAGCTAAAAAACTCACTACATTTTTGTCTTCTGACACAAAATTAGTAAATCTGATACACTTAATTATAATTCTTATTAAGATTTAAAAAATTTTTATTATATAATATGAATTTATTATTAGAAAAATTTATAGCCAATAAAATAAGGAATTAGAGCTAAATATAGGTATGGCATGATAGATAATAAAAACTGAATTTTTTTAATACCATGCCAAAATTTTCATTTTATAAGCGTAGATCCTCTCTACACCAACCATAAATTCAATTCGTATTTCACCAACAAAAAAAAAAAATTTAAAATAAAAGGCTAAATTTGACAACGTTTCATTTTCTAAAAGGTTTAATTGTGCGTTTTTTTTTTTTTGACATTTTTCCTTTCTCCTCTTGAATACACAAAGCTTTCTGGATTTTTTTTTTTTTTTCAAAAATTATAAAATTTATTTAACATATTTAAATTTAGTGATTCGCCCATTTATGTGCTAATAAAGAGTTTTTAAGCACATACTTGCGTACGTATATGTGATTTTGTTTTTTTTTTCTAAATATATGGAATAAATTAAATTATAGTTAAAGTATAACGTGAACATTAAACAGAGAATTTAAATAATATTTGGGAAGAAAGCGCAAACTGAAGAGAGGAGGAATGAAAGAAAAAAAAAATTGTCAAAAGAAACGTAAGGAAAATAAGAAAATAAATAATAAAATAAAAATGAAAAAAAGCAAAAAAAAACAAATTTATACACAAGTATTCACTCTTTTTTTTTCTTTTTTTGTTATTATTGTACCAGTTTACGCACACGGGAATAAAAATGGGCGATCGATGATTTGTCCCAGGTTTTCTAACCTTGAACTTCACTAATTATATACGAAAGTTTAATTTATTTTATTCTTATTATTTTTTTTTTTCATTTTTTCATTGTGTTGCTACTTTTTTCGGCATTTTGTATAATTTCTAATATCTACAAAAATGTATGTACATAGAAAAAATAGCAAACAAAAAAAAAAATTAAAGAAAAAAAAACAAACAACAAAAGAGTACAAAAAAAAATTTAAATTCTATGATGGTTTTTTAAAATAGTAGTAGTGTTGATGATGATGATCATGATTCTTTTGATATGTTGATAATCCTCACAATTTTATACTAATAATAGTGTGCAATAGCTAGACCTGCCATTCAGCTTCTAGTACCTAAACAAAATCAAGTTAAAAAATCTTAAAAATTCATCCTTCATAGCAAATGTTTTTACTAATGGAATTCAATTGATCGTGGATATCTACCTAGTCCCCATCTATCTACCCATTTATAGTCTGTGCTTTATCTCTTTCTTTATACATTATATGCTATGTGATATGGGGCATGTTCATGGGGGGAGGGGATGGGCCAATAGACCCTTATATGTGGTCGCGATGCACTGTTACTCCGGTTATATAAATCTACAAATCTACATAATGTTTTTTGAACAATTAGGAATTTTAGCTATTATTTGTAATTAATATGGGTATTCTATTGTCCATGCCCGGTTCGAATTATAATTTAGAATCCCTGTCAGAAACGAAGATGAACTTGGTTAAAACTGAACATGATGTAGTTCATTCTTTATAATGAAAATTAAAACAAATTGCAAACATTCTACTTTCATAATAAAATTTTAAGAGAAGCTCGATCTGAAAACACACATGTATTTCGATCAAAAATCTAAAAATATTGCTATGGTAACAAGTTATTCTATTAGAAAAAGTTTTCTACAATTTTATTTTTTTTTCAGTCTGTTTTACTGACTGCCGCTCTTCTTTAACAAAAAAGCAACACTCCTATACATTACGATCTCTATATTAAATACATATAGAAATTTTAGAAGAAAAAAATACTTAGAATTTTTATTGTTTTCTTGTTTTATTTTAGAATAATTTTGGTATCTTAGTATTTTTTGTCTCTATATTCTTTATCTTTCAGCTTTATTTGTTTGACCTCATTTAAGAGAACATTTTTTTTGTATCTTTATTTAGTTTGTTTTCTAAATAAAAAAATTCTTTTACTTTTTTTTGGATTTTATTGTTATACCATTTCCTTTTAGGTACTCAGGAATCGAATGATTATAGCTGAAAGATTTATTAATTTTAAAAAATAATTTTTAAATTTAAAACTTCTTTTTGCTTCTGAAAATTTCAATTCCCAGTATATTTACTTAGTTAAAATTTAACTAAGAAAAATTCATAGGTTTCATAAACTAATTATCTACATAGGTTCTTCTCGAACTAATCATCTACCATTTGAGTTGATTTGAACTGTAAAAGCTCCTCTTCATTAATTCTCCTCTGTATTTTTAATATTTAACTCTAATTTTTCAATAATTTATTAATTAGTGAAAGGATCAACCAAAACTAAAATATGATAGAGCAGCATTTTGTTAAAAAGTTTATACATAGTAACAATTTCCAAAATATTGTGAAACACAATCTACCTAGAAATATGCTAAAAACAAATGTTTCAAAAAAAA